TAATTCTTGGATACGATCTTTGTTGGGGCCTGCAACCAACATGTCGTCAACATACAACAATAAGATAACAAAGTTATTTTCACCAAACCTCTTGAAATATGCACAAGGGTCTGAATTAAGTCTGTTGTATCCAAGGCTCATGATGAATGAATCAAATCTCTTATACCAACACCTCGGCGCCTGCTTTAGACCGTACAGAGATTTGTTCAATCTGCAAACCAAGTTCTCTTTTCCTTTTTCTTCAAAACCTTCTGGTTGGAGCATGTAAATTTCTTCTTCAAGATCTCCATGAAGAAATGCTGTTTTCACATCTAGCTGCTCTAGATGTAAGTCAAATATAGCGCTCATAGCCAGGACAATTCGGACTGTTGTTAGTCGAACTACAGGAGAAAATATTTCATTAAAATCAATACCTTCTTTCTGAGCATATCCTTTTACCACCAATCTAGCACGATATCGCTCCACTTGATCATCACCATTTCGCTTGATCTTGTAGACCCATTTGTTTCCAATGGTCTTTCTTCCTTGTGGCAGTGACACAAGTTCCCAAGTCTTGTTCTTATAGAGAGCTTTAATTTCTTCCTGCATTGCTGCCATCCACAAAGATGCATCTGTGCCATTAATAGCTTCATGAAAAGTTGATGGCTCTCTATCTTCTGTTAGAAGACAGTATGCAACATTACTCTCCGTAATATACTCCGAGTGCCAAGTCGGTGGTCTTCTCTCACGAGTTGACCTTCGAATTTCTGGAGCCTCGGACTCGACCGGTTCTTGTACATCATGTTCCGGTGTTGCTTCAGAAGAATTCAGATTATCTTCTACCTGAACAGCTACAGTCTCTGAGTCCTTCCTCGAACTGCTTTCTTTTTCTTCACTTTGTAGTTGGTTCTCTATAAAGATAACATCTCTGCTGATGATAACCTTGCGGGTAGTGGGATCCCACAGGCGATACCCCTTTACTCCATCAGCATACCCCAAGAATATGCATTTTCTGGATTTTGAATCCAGCTTTGTAATTTCTTGAGTATTGTACATTACGTACACTGGACATCCAAATATCTGGTTTGCCAGTCCACATCTCCATCGGCGTCTTCAATTGTATTGCAGTTGATGGAGATCGATTTATCACATAACAGGCGGTTTTTACTGCTTCCACACAAAATACTTTTTCCAGATTTGCAGTAGCCAGCATAGCTCTTGTTCTTTCCAACAGAGTTCTGTTCATCCGCTCCGCCACTCCATTTTGTTGAGGAGTATAAGCCGTACTGAATTGTCTTTTGATGCCTTCTTGCTTGCAGAATGCTAGGAATTCACCGTCTGTGTATTCTCCTCCATTATCTGTTCTCAAGCACTTGATCTTCTTCTCAGATTCAAGCTCGACCCGCGCTTTGTAGGCTTTAAAGACTGAGAACACATCCGCCTTCTTCTTGATAGGATACACCCAACATCTCATGGAGTAATCATCAATAAAGGACACAAAGTACTTTGCTCCTCCTAAGGATGTAACTGGTGCTTGCCATACATCAGAATGAACCAGTTCCAGAATAGCCTTGCTTCTAGAACTCGATGTGTTGAACTTCAGTCGATGCTGCTTGCTTGTAACACAATGCTCGCAAAATGCACAAGCGCCCCTCTAACAATCTTCATGACTCCATTTTCTATATGAGTCTTGCACCCGAGCTCATCTAATTGTCCCAAAGACAATAGATTCTTCTTCAAGCCCTTCACATGTCGCACATCTTGAATGGTGCGTATTATACCATCAAACATTTTGATTTTGATAGTACCAATACCACAAATCTCCAAGGCATGATCATTCCCCATGAATACAGATCCTCCTGAGATAGGTTCATATTTGTGAAACCAATCTCTCCGAGAGGTCATGTGCCAAGAGGCTGCTGAATCTAGAAGCCAGACATCAGCAAACTTCTTTCTGCCTTCATCAACAGTGGTTGCTCCACTGAATAGAATTTCACCATCCTCTGACGTGCTGACAACGCATCCTTGAGATGTTGATGGCTCTGAAGACTTTTTATCTCCACTCTTCTTGTTGTGCCAACACTCCGATTTGACGTGCCCTCTTTTGCCACAGTTGTAGCATTTGATATTCTTCTTACTTCGTGATTTCGATCTACCATGGGCATGACTCCCACTGGAGCCACGTTCTGTTGATCTTCCTCTCGTCACCGACAAGGCCTCCGCTTGCTGCGAACTTGTCTGCCTGTCTTCCTTGTTCTTGCGCCGATTTTCTTCCTCCAGAACAGCGGCTGCAACATCGTCGAAGACTAGATTGTCCGTGAGGACGTTGTTCGTCAGGTTGATGATGAGTTGATCATACGAGTCAGGTAGACTCTGAAGTAGAAGTTCTGCACGTTCATTCACACCAACTGTATATCCCAACGTTGTGAGTTGGGAGAACAGTGTGTTTAAGGTGTTGATGTGGTCGTTCATCGATGTAGATTCCGCCATCCTTAGAGTGTAAAGTCTCCTTTTTAAGAAGATTTTATTGTGCATGGATTTCGCCTCATATAGCTTTGTTAGAGTATCCCAGATCTCCTTTGCTGTCTTCTTCTCCTCTATGCTTGACAGCACCCCGTCTGCTAATGCCAGATGGAGATTTGCAATAGCATTTTCGTCCATCTCGTTCCACTTCTTATCATCTGTGATGTCGTCCGGCCTTGCACCAATGGCCGCCAGGCAATTATCTTTTTTCAAGATATTTTTTATCTCCAACTTCCACAGTGAGAAATTACTCCCGTCGAATTTCTCAATCTTGAACTTCGCCGCCATTGCTTCTACCACGAACAGTAACTTCTTACTATTTCACGTAAATAGTACTGTATTTATGAACAGTAGCCGTATCCGTGAGTAGTGTCGTACTTATGAATAGTACCGTATTTGTGAACAGTACCGTACTCGTGAATAGTACCCGTCACCTCCAAAGGGTAAGTGATAACCTAACTTATTTTCTGATGTGGAGGATCCACCTTTGGTGACAGCCACAGAGCATACGATAAGTAGATATATACAAGTACCCTAAGTTGGCTCTGATACCACTTGTTGGGACAAACCCGGGGCCCAATAGAGCAGGGTCGCAGCAATAGTAGAGCAAAAGTAGAGATAAAATGTTGGACACACAGATTTACGTGGTTCGGCACTTGATTGCCTACGTTCACGAGCAAGGATAGAAGAATTCACTATGAGGAGAAAACTCTAGAGTTACAATATCTCTTTCTAAGAAGATACTCTCTCTATTTTTTCTCTCACACACTTCTATATAAGAAGAAGTTTCTGGGATGAGATTTCCTTAAGGATTTAGAGCCCTATTTATAGTTTTTTGAAAAACACTATGCATAATAAAATATTAATATTTTACTATAGCAGTGAGCCCCACCATTTTGTTTTCTTTTTCCTTTTCAACATTGGCTGCTGGGTGGGTTGGTGCTTGGCTTCATTAGGCGCCTAACAAAAACTAATCACGAGTACAATTCTAGTAAAACAAGCATTTGCAACCACACTTTATAACCTTTTTTCCCCCACAAACAAATGAGTAGTTTTTGAGTTGCATTTTTTTTCCATTGCAGACAGCCTATAGCCTAAACCTGCATGTATCAACATGCTCGGGGATTCCTCTGGGAAATTACATTAATTTTCCCAACTAAAGGGTGTATTTGGAAACAATATGAAGATAATTTGTTAGCTCACTAGTGTCCTACAATGAGTTTATCGACTCTTTGGTTGGAAGGAAATGGAGTTGTAAATATAAATAGAGTAACTAGACTGGTAAGTACATTGTTTGGTTTACAATCTTATAATTAGAAAGGGTAAATAAGGTGTATTTATAGACAAAACTTGGAAGAAAAAGGTGCGTACTTCGAAAAAGGGAATTGACAAATTAAAATAATTCCCACCGTGCGAAGAAAAGCTTTTTAATTCTAAATAAGAAAACAATCTACACCCAAGTTTTTTTAGAGCATCTCCAAGGGATCCCTTGGATGTCCCTTAATTTAGGGGGAACTTTAAGGAAGGGATTGGTTCTCCTCCAATGGTTCCCCCTTAAAAGTCCCCTACCCCTTAATTAATTATGTTTAGTTTTTTAATTTTATAGATTATGATTTAATTAAATATGTGGTTTATTTATAAATGAATAAATAGTTAAATATTAATAACTAAAAATAAATAAATAATTAATTTAAATTAAGAAATTACCTTATATAATCATTAAATTAATTAATCATATTAAAATTTAACAAATAATTAATTATATTAATTAAATTAAATTATAAGGGGTACATTTTAAAAAATGTTAATTAAATTAAATTAACTATACATTAACTTAATTATATTATTTTAAACTAACTATATATTAACTAAATTTAATTAACTATAAACTAACTCTAAAATAAAATATATTAATATAAAATTATAAGGGGAAGTTTAAGGGAATTTATCCTTCCCCTTAATTTGATGAGGAAGTTAAGGGACATGAGGTTGAATGGGAAATTTTCCGGTCCGTTGGAGCTCATCTCCCGTAAAAATCCCCAAATTTAGCCAATGGGCCGGATTTTTCCGGCCCCCTTGAAGATGCTCTTATATGGCAAATTTTTTTTATCTAATTGTTTTTAACAAAATATTAAACTTGCATTATTCGTAAATACATCTCTTATAATATAATAATTGCATATATCCAATTATCGAATTTGTAGTAGATTTTCCGCAACAAATGTTGCATGCAAAATTTGCTTGTATATTATTTTAAGCAAACCAAACAGCCAGTTTTACAAACACACAATCAATTACTGAAAAGGAGGACGAAAAGAGTTATTGCTTCCCCCCCCACAAAAGATAATACTAGAATAGCACGGAAAATCTAGGTATTGAAAGAACATATTCTCTTCTTTAATTTGTTCTTGACGTATTACAACTACCTTCTCATTATTTTATCTCGTTCCCCCAACTATAATACCTCCCCCTCTTTAAGTCCCCAGCCTGGCCCTATATATCGAAATAAAAAAGTTTTTTTAAGGAAAACATAAGCAAAACAAAACATTACACAAACAGCCAATAACAATAATTTGAAAGTAACGTAAAACTATCTGCACTTGCAAATGCTTCTGAATCCATCCATCCCTCATCTTTACGCGGATGGATGGGTAAATTATGACACCTTTTCCTTTTATATATATCACCTTTTGTTTTTATTACCATCTACCAAGCCTTTACCGGGTATCGGTGGATCGAATCCTTCCACGGGTTATCCGCATCCATATCCGAATCCTTTAGCGCCCTCCAAACCAAGCTACAAACTTTGAACCCGGTACCAAAAGCCAACATCCAAACCCGATCCCCTTCCTTAACCCTCTCCTTGGCCTCAAAGTAAGCCAACTCATAAAACACCAAACTACTGGAGGTGTTCCCAAACCTATGCAGGCACATTCGGGCGGGTTCGGTCACAGCCGGCCCGAACCGCATCAGTCGCGCAACCGATTCGATAACCGCCTTTCCGCCCGTGTGAACACACAAATGCTCAAACGCCTTGGTGAAATCCGGAGTGTACGGCTTATCGGATTTGGGTCCGACAACCATCCGGTACGCGTAGTAAAGCAATTCGCCCCACGGTAGGACCCACGGGGCGAGGGTTCGGATGTGGGTTCGCAAACCCTCACCCGCAACCCGAACCAAATCTTTTTTCAAGGCGATCCCAACATTTCCGTCCTCATCCTCAGCTTGATGAGCCGCAGCGTACGACGCGTCATCGGACCCGTGATGAGTCCGAAGGGTCCGAACCATTTCGAACTTGGCTCGAGCCCGACATTTTGGGTCGTTAGTCACGAGTGCAGCAGCCGTCCCGACTCGAAAAATACAATTAGTCACCAACATCGAACGGTCATCGCCAAAATACCAATTCAAGCTTATACTCTCGGTGATGACCACCAAAATGTACCGGATCCTTCTCGACCCGTTAAGGATCCGGTAAGCGAGGTCGATCGACGAAACCCCGGAGCTACATCCCATGCCAGAGAGATTGTAGGTCTTGATATGCTGCTCCAACTTGTAGTGGTTGATTATGAGGGAGGTGAGTGAAGGGCAGGGGGTGAACATACCGCAAGTAGCTATAACAGTGTCGACAGTGGAGATATCGATGTGGGTTTTGGCGAGGAGGCCGTCGACCGAGGTGACGATGCCCTCTTCGGCTTCTTGGGCCGAGGTGTACTTGGCCTCGTAGTCATGCTGGAAGATGAAGGGGGGAGCGTAGGTTTCGTCTCCTAGGCCCGACTTGAGGTAGATGCCGCGCATGAATTCTTCGGATTTCGTGGTGAAGCGTTTCGACCGACGGACGAAGTACTCGCAGATTTCGTACGAGCATTTGCGGTCGTGGCCGGGCAAGAAGCATGAGTAGTCCAGGAGGAGGACGGGCCGCGGTCGCGTGAAAATGTAGGAGAGGATTAAGACGAGGGAGCAGTAGAGGAAGGAGAGGAGGAGGGGTTTGTGGTTGGTGATGGAGGAGGAGAGGAGGGAGTGGAGGGCAAGGAGAGGAGGAGGGGTTTGTGGTTGGTGATGGAGGAGGAGAGGAGAGAGAGGAGGGCTAGGGTTAGGGTTAGGAGGAGGAAGAAGGTGAGCTTGAGGAGTTGGATTAGGGTTAGGCCTTTGAAGGGAGCCATTTGGGCTTTTAGCGTTTCGTTTTGAGTCTTTGTGGGGGGCGTTTATATAAAGCGTGTCTGGATTTTTTGGAGGGTGAAAGTGTATAGGAGAGGGGATCACATGTGCCGGGGCCGGATGTTGACCGTCAAGCATGTGGATTGATTCATAACTTAATTAGTTGAGCAATTTAATTTACGTACATGGAAAAATATTTTGACCAACTTTTTCTTCCTCTTGTAAAACGATAAGCACTGATCTAGAATTTTGTCTTAATGGCGTCTCCATCTAACTTATTAGTTGATTCAGTGAAAAGTGATAATATTCATAGTTTTACTATGTTTAATTATCTCCTCGGTGGTGTCGTATACAGTAAATGCAAATAAAAGCAAATAAAATTAATTAGGCCCCGTTTGGCAAATGGTTAATGAAGAGGGATTAAAGAGAATGATTAACATAGTTAACCCATTCGATAATCTGAATGACTAAATTATTAACCCATTATATAAGTTTTATTTTAACCCTTATGATCATTTTTCGTGTTTGGGAATAACAATGATTTAATTTGACTATTTTCTTTATAATTAGAGGGTTAGCTCTTAGTCCTTCTAAATAGGAGTATTAGTAAACCTCTCATTTTGAAGGGTTAACTCATTTTAATCCCTTTAGAGGGGTTAATTAGTTTAACCTTTCTATATATTTTATGTTTGACAAATTATAGAGGGTTAACTCACTTTAACTCTTATATAGATTTTTTATGTTTGGCGGGTTAATTAAGAAGGGGTTAAGTCTCCTTAACCTCCCGTTTAACCCTTTGCCAAACGGCACCTTATGGACTAGGCAATCTTATAGTATTCTGCTACACAGGTGGACACAATTAATGTAGCACCGCCACTTGCGGGCTAGCTAGGTTATAGAGTAACTGTTTACGTCATAGATTTGCTTGTTGTTCGGAATGAGTTGTGTGTGTATTTACATGCATGTCTCGCTCAAAATACATATATACAGCACAAGGTACGTTTACATCAAGAGAGAGGAATTACAAGGTTTACATTTGGAGAAAGACGACTGGTATATTGGGAAAAAGAGTTGGAATATTGAATGGGAGTGAAACTTTACTAAAATAAGAGAAATCAGTCACTGGAAGTTGTACCTGGTATTTCCTATGCTATGCACATAATTTTCTGTGACCATTCAAGAACTACAATTGATGTCGATGCTATTTAACTCGAGCCAAAAAAAGAAAAAAGAAAAAAGAAAAAAGAGTGAGGCGCGATAGCCAATTAGAAGGGGTTTAAACTTGCAAATTGGTGCAGATTCTAATGCAGGTTAGAATCCGGCGACTTTACAAACCTAGCTTCAAATTAAAGAGTCATATCTTTAGATTTCAGTTAGTCCATTTAAGTTGATGCAGGAGAGCATGCATAAAACCTAAAGACAAAAAAATTATTTAGCGCTAGTCTATGAAATTTACTAAAATGAGACGCCTTTATTGAGCCTCACTTCATTTATTAATAGACTTCTTTATATGAGCTAAAACTATTTGTCCCTTTATATATCACATATATGTATGTACTAGTTGGATTGCACGTGCAATGCACGTGGTAAAATTTTGAAATTTATCTTAAATTTTACTGGTAATACATGTATTTCAAAACCAATAATGGAAGCAAACTGACGAGTGCATGTACTAAATCATTTTATATTGCAGTATCTTAAATAATGATGTTTATGACATTGTACATTTTCTGTGAATAAAATACTTGTGAATGGATTCAAAATGTTATGTAAATAAGCAAGATAATATCAGAGTAGAATAAAAGCATTACACTTGCTGCACAAGTTGCTCATTTATCTGGTAGGTAAAATTGAACATACATGTCATACAAACATATCCTTCAATCATGGTAAATAAACCAAGTCACCAACCCTGTGATAATGCCATAAAGCTCTTATAACTTTTCTTCAGAGAAATTAAGAAGATCACCATGAGTATTCACTCCGAGATTACTTTGCAAAGAGCTTCCAAGTTTTCCTCCAAGCTGTTTCCTATGATGACACAAACAGAGAGCTTCAATTAATTGAAGTCTAATTTTGCAGCTTAAGAAAATTATTGTTAAAATGTAATATGTCAAAACATTGCAACATTTAAAATATTAATTGTCTTGTAGGTATTTCAAAATAATGAAGATGCTACGCAAGACCAGTTCGAGCAATGTCAAACTCCAGATGAATGCAAGAACGATCAGAAGCTGGAGTGTGAAGCTCTTTCCTCACAACTACATTAGCTCTGAAGATCGGATATCATGTATTATTCCATTATTAGATGAACTTAAATCCATGTCTCAATATAAAACATTCCTTTAGTATCTGCATGGATGATGAATATCATGAATGGCATGACCATTTTTAAGACTCCATTTCTTTTCCAAATGTGATGTGGCTTCTCAGTCAACAAACACAACCTTCAATTCAGTAACATTGGCTGTGTAAGTGGTAGATGCACCTAAGGCATCATCTTGATCTCAAAGCAACTGATCTAATTCTGGTTATAATTGCTCTTTCCTGTAAGAATATATACCTTGTTACTTGCAAAACTTCAGCATATGGAATGTTTAAACACAATAATATACTAAAAGCAAATTCACCCAGGAATTTCTTTACAATTCAGGAAGCAGCACAAGTTATTTAATGGTTACTTTAAGTTTAGCAACAACATGAACGTGTTGTTACCATGCAGTGAAGTCATCTTCAATGCACTGATCATCATCTCCTAGGCTTACTTTGACAAGGCGCTTCGCTCCTACCACAGCAAGAAAATTTATAAATTTACTTAATCACATAAACAAGGCAGAAAACATAATTATAGCTTTTACGACTACACTATGGACAATAACCGATCAAGCAGGATACATGGAAGAAGACTGATAATTATATTAATAGGACTGAAAGACTTATGTTGCATGAGTTCAAGACCATTTTGGTTTTTTGTAAGAGTATTTTTCCAATGTGCTAAGCATGAAAAATTGCTCATGTTGTCCTCTTCCCCAAATGAAAAGCAAGAAACAAGAATAATGCCAACCATGCCCAAAGTAGAAAAATTGTTGTTTGGGAACATATATCAAATTATTGGAACCATCACAAACTAAAATATAAGTAAGCAAGAAACATATGCAAAAACCTCACCATATAGCAAATCAGTCTGCCAACAAATAAATTCCATATGCTGGCATAGAATATAAGAAAAATACATAACTATGAACGATATTATAACGTTAAAAATTTTACATAAAGTTGCAAAAAAATAACGATATTATAAGGCAAAAGTCACCAGAAGGTAGATGATTCTGCAATCATTTGATGCAGTTTTTGCATCTCTAAGTTTTTATCAGAGACAAAAATACAGTCAAATAGACCATTAACTTCTAAATTAATTATTAATGCTTAAATGAGAAACGTATTAATATTTTCTATCTAAAACAAAATACATATATTATGATTCTTGTTACTTATATAAAATGCTATATGTTTAAAGGCAAACAATAAATATATTATTTAATGTACTAATTTTTTTTTTATGAAACTAACTTGGATCTATTACAATTGTGTTTGGATAATCAAGCGGGCCAATGATTATAACATTTTGGAGAAAGACTTGGCTCTTAATCCAGCAAAAATATTCTCAAGTCTGTTGTATTATATTAAAGTTTCACTCGTGCATCAACAAGTAGATTTAAAAATAGAGTTGATCAAGTCTTAAAAGATACAAGGGAAAAAAACCTGCAATAAACTGGTTGGATATTCCAAAACGGAAAGTTTCTGAAGGTGAGATTTATGATGACAATTCGTGTTGAGTATGTCAGGTCAATGAGATGTGGTCGTGTATAATCCAGTCTATGGCTATTGAACTTATCCCACAAAACACTTTGTTATCAGTGAAAGCAAATGGTATGTATATTGAAATTGATTGTTAATAAAGAAATAAAATTAACAAACAAATGTATATTTTGAATACCTTTCGCGAGGAGGGAGATCAGAACAAAGTTGCAGACGATAGGCATAGAGTCCAGATTTTGCTAGGAGGGAGCTCAGAACAAAGATGCAGACGATAGGCATAGATCTCAGTCAATCCACATACATGAAAGTCATCATACAAAAATATTTGGCATTACACTTTTGAATAACATCTTATAGAATTTGTCCATGATTTGAATCCTTTTTTTCAAAGACTCATCAACATAACATTGTGTCGAGATAACCCAAAAATATTTCAAATGCATTTTAAAAGTAATAAAGTCAAGTATTTGTTAAATATGTAATTAGCTTGACATAATTGAGCGATAAGTTTAAGCTAATAACAGCCAAAAAAATCAAAGCATGCAATATTTATGAGACAACAATATGTGCATATTGTTGTAATTCATAAATTGTTCTAACAAATAACATTCATAAGTTAATCCTCATAAAAGCATACGAAAAGATAAATAAAATTCCTCCAACATATTTGTAAATGTATTGAAAATTTAAAATTGTTCATGTTAAATTTTTTTTTCGTTGATCATTCCTTCTCGACCTTTATCTTCTTTTTTGGTAATTCAAGAATTGTATCATCGTCTTCAATGTTGATTGTGTTGTCTTCTTGGAGTTGAATTTCTTGTGCTATTATCTTTCCTTATGCCCGTTCATCCTTTGAGTTTTCATCTAACTTCACAAGGAATGTGTATGTCTTTCCAATGTTTAGCACAAACTTTTGGAATAACGAACTCTGATTATTTTTCTATTTTAATTAGGAAACAATTAATTAATTATACATGAAACATATGGTTTTATATGTTTAAAATATAATAAAGTAAGAAGTTACCTCTTTTATATCAGCCATGAATTTTTGTGCC